TTTTAAAAACCCCATTCCTGCCTCCCCTCCCAGCCCAGTCAATCCCAACTCAGCCTGCCTGCAAGCGCAGCATCAAATAAAGGCACTTGGATCAGATTATCCAGTTCCTCCAGCCTCTATTTCTCACGCATTTCTAACACTATTCTTCATTTCGGAAAATCCAGAAAACCTCTTAATGAACCAAGATTTGAAAATCTTTCACTTGAATGTATTTCTTTAGAAGTTCATTTCTAGGAAATGTTATAAAAATGTAGAGAGAAAATAAAAATTGACAGCTGTACAAAAACTGTAACACTTACTAGAGAAAATGGAACTGACTACTTTCACTAGAATTAACACTCCATTAAGGTGGTGACTGGTGCATTGCTTGTACCTTAAGAGAGCCTGGCAGATCCTAGTACACAATAAATGATTATTATACCAATGGACAAATGTTAGATGAGAGTGACTATCATCTTAGTACCTAAGAAAATATATACAGATATTTCCTTGAGTGATATACTTGAGAAAGTTCTTCATTAAAGAAACAAGTCTATTACTTATTCATTCACTTAGTCGAAAAGAATTACTGAACACACCTAGTACTTGGTAGTTACTCAGGCTCTTGAAATAAACAGGAAGAAAAACTTAGTTCCTCTTCTTAAATGCTCATCCTCTAGAGGAGGAGTCAGACAAAAACTCAACACAAAAGCATATGTTAATTGTGATATGGGCCTTGATTATATGCTAGATAACAGTGAAAATGAATTTTCCCCGGGGGGCTGGGAAGTCAGAGCACCTGTTTCAGTGGTGAGGCATGAAAGGAATGACTATACAGCAATAATGCTCTTCATCTGCAGAAAGTAGAAACACAGTAAAACCAGGGACAGTCAGTCCTTTGTATGCCACAGGGAAAAGGACTGGCCTTATGTGGGCCAGGGCTCTGGCTAGCTGGGAACCTAAGCACTGATTGATTAAGCAGACTCTGGGCCTTCCCTCAGGGTCCTCAGCGACCCAGCTATTCTCCCTGGCATGCATCAGAGACTGTAAAGCACAGGGCTGCATTCTGGTTCTGGCCTTGCCCACAACTAAGGATCCAGTCTTAGTCAAAGCTTCCATCTTTTCAAGTATTCATCTCCCCTAGTGAATGAGCATGAGAATAATGCTCTACCTGAGTACTGGGATGATCAAATAAGACAGTATTGAGAACTTGTGGTATAAGCAATATAACTGTTCACTGTGACTGAAATGAAGAAGATGATGATGAGGGGGGATGGTGATGTGGATATATTCCGTTCATGGAAACAATCTGAAATCAAGTACTTCTGTTAGTTTAAGAATTCTTTTTTTGCATGTTTTAAATACCCATAACAGTACCTAGGCAGTGGTTTGCACTCAGAGATATTTGGAAATGTGCATCAAGGATGCAAGTTGTTAAATTATTCTGATATCACATGACTACTAAAAAGACAGGTTCTGCAGTGTGAACCATTCCCACACATCAAAGAACTGTCCAATCCAAAATGCCAATAAAGCCCTGGTGAGAAACACTGCTAGATTCTCAACAGATAGGAAATATTTGGTGAATATTTGCTAAATAAATGAATGGTTCATATGATATCTATTTCTTTCAGGGCACAGTAGACTGCCAATCTCTTGAAATCAAGGAATGTAACTGGTTGACTTTCACCTTACCAGATCCCCAACCCTGAAACTGACACATGATAAGCAATGACTATCTGAAAAATCCCATCACCAAATCAAGACAATCTATTACACTACAAGAAATTATAAGTATTTGGCATGGGTAAGGTAAGGCAATAGTGTTAAAGATGTTCTCTTCAAGTCTGGTAAAGACATTGGGAAAACAATACTAAAACTTAGAGGTCCAAGTGAAGTAAATGAGGCTTTCCTCCATCACCAGATGACTAATTGCAATTTGTAAGCACGACCATCCCAGTAACTAAGTCAGAAAGAGTAGTGGCTTTATAAAGATCAATATGCTTTGCAGAGGAATTTTAACCCAAAGCCATACTTTCTCTCTGGATATCAATTTAAAGGTAGGTGGGTCAAAATTAAGATATTTGGATATCTTCACATTTCTTTTTTGAAGGGAAAGGCACCAGAACAGTATACAGAATGTATTACATTGCATACTTTTGTGTTTCAAAAGAACAAAATCAGTTTTCTCAAAGACTGATTAATGGGAGCCAAGTAAGTGTACAAAATAGCAAAAGGTTACAAGTCAGTGAATAAAAGATAGTATGAAACAATAGAAATAAAACATTAGAAGGTATTTTAAAAATTAGATAGCCTTCCCTAACCTTGACAAAGAGCAAACTTTCCATCAGAGGTTGATAGAAAAAGCACAAAAAGCCAATTATATAAATGTGGCAGAAATGGGGGTACAGATTAAAAAACAATACATGAAGGCAAAAAATAAGATCAAAACAACATATCACTCCACAGCATTAAAGAAAATGTAAATGAGTAGTAATGAAAGAACTTCTCAGATCTGAAAGTTTCAGAATTGCAAATATTCATTTTTAATTGACCTTTCTACTTAGCATAAAGAAGTGCTTTTTAAAAACAAATTCAATCACAAGGATCAAAAAAAACTGACTTAAAGAGGAACAAACTAAATTTTACAATAAGAGCTTTTCAAGTCTCAGCAGACAAACACTGTTAGGTCCTTAAAAATGAATTAAATTATTGATACCAATATAACAGGAATTGTATTATAGGAGCTCTGTATAAAGTGGAATATAAAAGAATTTCCAGAAGAGAGGAAGCATATAAGTAAATGAAAAAATAACTGTCAAATTTTAAATACCGTCAGAAAGCCTAACTTGGTTCTGTAGAGAAGTTAAATTCACCAGCTAACAATGTGGGCCTCTAATAATTTCCATTTATTATGACCAGTCCCCCTGAACAAAGTGTTAAAATGGAAACTACTATTAACACACTCTGTTTGTTATATATATCAGGGAAAGAAATCTGATAACTTATTGGCTATTTAAGTGAATTCTCAGGCGGCCTATAAAGGTACTGAGAATATAACGCATTTTATATTTTTAGAAGTGTTCAATTTGGTCAAAGGGGAGAAAGGGAGTGTCACAAATGGATAACAGCCACAGTACTTCTTCAGTACAAGCACCTAGGTTTGGTATAGAGAAGTTGGATGCAATGGTTGAAATCCTCTTTCAGCCTTGCTTCCAATTCCGAAGTGTACTAGATGAAGCAAGAACTTCTAAAATGATCAAGTGTCTACACAGCTTCCAGGTTACAAGTGTAATTGTGTGTCACAGCCCAAACACATTCCATAGAAAGGACACATAACAGGCTTAGAGTAACTGATTACTACATCTAGGCTTATACATTTATGAAGAAGTAGTCTGAACTGTCAACATGGCCAAGCATAGGAGTTGTTGCCTATTTATAAGCTTAACATGGTTTACACTTACTTTTAGTATTCTTAGTTCTTTTACTTAAAAAAACAAAAAACTATTCCAAAAGGAAATGTAAATGAGCTGAAGCCTTTCTGCTTTGACTTTCATCACGCACACACAAACTCAGTTTTAATCAGAAAACACTTCTAGAAAAATTCCATTTTGTAAATACTTACTGAAAAAAAGAACTATCTGTAGTACTAGGGGACAAAATGCAGCTGCTACACTTTTACAATTATTATAAACATGAGTCCAGAAAAAGCTCTACCTCCTCAACTCCATTCAAAGTAGTTAAGTGGTTTATTTTAACAAGAGTATGTCTACAGATCTCTTTAATAATTTCATTGACTTATTATGATCTCAAAGGCTTTTTACTTCAAGGTCTAAAATATCCCCTTCTTTGCAACCAAAAGGTAAATGTATATTTGAGGGGTAATGTGCATTCTGTTCTTGAACAATGTATTCTGCTAAGTGACGTAACTTCGGCCCTGGTCTCTCTGGGATGTTTGCACTTCGTAGGCTTCTGCTCACACCTAAAATGAAAACTTTAAAATTTAGCCTTGAACAAATAAAGGAAAGCTCCAGTTATATGAGTGTCTCCTCAACAAAAATCTACGTATCAAATAGCAATTATCAAGTATGTATACCACAGAAATCACAGGAGAAATTAAGGAGACGTGGTCTGTGATCTTTTCTCCATTCTCCATTTTCTCTGCAAACCCACCATGAGTGGTCAGACTCTCAAGCCTATTCAAACATCTGCCCCGACTACTTCAAATCTTGCATATGATCGCTTTCTTCCTAGCAGAAGCTATTTTAATCTATGATGACCAATCCCTTGGCCTGTGCCTAACTCAAATCTCCATTTTCCCATCTCCTCAGGCAAAAGCACTATCCACGATTTACTTTCTGTTATTCAAAGGAGGCAATTTACTAATGTCCTTTTCTTTATGACACTAGCACAAGGGAGTAATAGTTACCCATAAAGTCTTATCTCTAAAAATTACAAGTATCAACATTTGAAATCTTGTTTTAAAGCTTCAAAATCACACATCTTTGTGCTTTTTCACAATGTTATCTTGGGATCCTCAAAATAAAGACTAAGATACTTTACACAAACTTGCTTGCCCTTCACCGTGGTGCAATTATTCATTCAACAAACACATTGCCTAGCCCACTGTATTTGTACTGCACAAAAATGTCACTGAATGACTGACCACCTTTCTCCTCTACCTACAAACCCATATCAAAAGCACGCTATTTTTCCTGCAGATGGCCTCCGTCCCCCCTCCCTATACCCTCCCCTTGTTGCTCACCCACCGCATCTCAAAACACTTCCCTAAAGTAGGGGGCAAGCAAGGTGAAGGAATGGAGGAGATACACTTCACCCTCAGCTGTCAATGCGTAGGGCTGGGAACGCACGCGCAGCGCGGGCAGTTAGGTCCGGTGGCAAAGTGGGCCCGGGGCCTGCACTCGACCCCTGCGGGTAATGCTGGTTGGGAGCGGCCTGGTCGGCCCTGGGAGGAGGTGTCTGAGGGGACAGTGTGGTGTGGGCCGGTCGGGCACACTCACAATTTCAGCATCCACTCGCCCTCCAAAACCAGCGTCCAGTTGGAGGCGGTCATGGGAAGCACCATGCTCCGCTCAGCCGGTAGCGAAGCCTGCTCCGGCCGGACCTCCTCCGCCGTCTCCGCAGCGACCCAGGCGGCTAGAAGCACCAGCAGCAGCGGGCTGCAGCGCCCTCCCGCCATATTGGGGCGCGGAGCGAGGCTCCTCCACAGGACGCGTGGAGAAAAGTAGCAGCGGGTCCACGGCCTCACTTGCTGCACCACTGGGCCTCTAAAGGTAGACACAGGGGCGGAGGGGCGGAGGGGCGGAGGGGCTGCGTAGCTTCCGCTCAACGGAGCAGCCTACAAACCATAGTGGGTGGAAGAGGCGAGGACCGCCTCTTATCAGCCCGACGGGTGCGCTGAGGCCACGCCCCCTCCCGCCTAGACTTGCCGCTGTTGCCCGGGCTGTCAGTTGCCTAGGCAACAGCCTGCCATTCTTCCGGACCACCAAACTGAAAATAAAGAGATGACCCGATGTTGCTCAAGTTAGAACGTGCTCCGCCTGCGCCCAGGCTACCCAGTAAAGAGAGGCGGGGCAGCGGCTGGATGGCGCGTGTGGGTTTTTCTAAAGAGAAACTTGACCAGTAATTTAAGAACTCATCCTCTCTTCGATGGTAGCAAAATAACAACCATGGGCTGCAAAGTAAACCTGTTTAACGAAGAATGGAGTGGGCATGCGTCTCTTGCTAAAAGGACAGGAAAAGTTTAAGTACTCTCTGCATGTGTATATTGAAATATCATTGCCTAATTGGAGGTAATTGTGAAACTAGACTATGAAGTTTCAAAACTGTATGTTCTTTACAAAAACAATTTTAATTTTATAAAAACTTAAAACGTGGGTACTAGTAGATAAAATGAGTTAATTAGAAAAATGCCAGCCACAATTAAGTGCACCTCACACTTTCCTCAGTTACAGTTAGATCTAAAATGAAAGTAGCCTTCAATATTTCCAAATTTCTTCCCAGATACACAGTAGTACATTTGTACCTGGAGGCCACCACACTCTTGTATGACTGAAATACATATTAGAGGGATGGTGAGCTTTTCAAAATGTGCTTTATAAGAATTCATTAGGTGTTCAAAGTATAAAACTGAGTATGTGATGTGAATCCTGAGAAAGAAGACACCCACTAAGAAGGGCTTCTGGTAGCTAACTGGACTAAAATTGTTTAAAAACAGAGCCTAGCAGCCATTTCTGCACAGCCTCTTCTCACACAAACTGCACTGTAGAGAATCCTGCACTGAACCACCTGCCTGTGCATGTAACTACCTGCCTCTGTACAGAACTTCCTGCCTAGGCTGTGTTTCTTGGAAGCTAGGATGGGTATGAGCCAGCCCACATAAAGGAGTTCCTGGAATCCTACTTCAACCAATAGGACTGAAACTTTCCCCATGTAGTAGAACTGCACATCTCCAAACAACCAGAGTAGCTCTATTCCAACCAATCAGGAGAGTACCTTTTGGGCCAATCAAACTTTGAGGATTTGGATTCTTCATTTGAATGAGGAGAGACCAATCAGGAACCAAGGGCGGGGACTTTCATCTATATGCCAGTTTTCCTGTAGCTGTGAGAGTACACATTCCCTTTCCAGCTAAGATGAAGGCAGTATTTTTCCCTGTACTGCTCCAAAGTCATTCTGTTTTCACAGACTGCTGTGTTACAGTTAAGCCTTTTTGTACTGAATAAAATTTCTTTCTTCACTTCACCCCAGGTTGTAGATTCCTGTTGGCATTGAATGGCTGCCAACAACCATCAGTTGACAGTAATCAATATACCATGAAAAATATGTGATTTTTGTCCTTTTATTTAGCACAAACAGCTATACAACTATGATTATCGCAGGGCACATAAGATGAATCTACAATCACTGTGTATAGCAAAGAAAGGTTAATTTTGCCTCCAGAGAAGGTCTTACCTGCCTTTGATGTTAATTCGTAGTAGCTAAATTCTGTATGGAACCTGTCCTTATCAAGTTATGACTCAAATTTACAAACTATTATAAATTTGGAAAATGTTTCTGCAATAAATGTTACTAAGAGTCACTGTTATACACAGATTATTATCAAACTCAAGGGATTTTCAGCTTGGGGTGCTCTATTCAAGAAAGTTGTTGCAAGACAGTTTTATTTACTTTGAATATAGATTCACATTCAAAGCTCTGTCTCCTCTAAGGAATCCTTAGTCATTGCTTATAAACACTATTTGGTCAATTACATGTTGGTTCTTTTTTGCAGATGGCTACACTCACTTATCAGGTTGGGTTCCTGTCCAGCACATTCTGTTTATAGCTGCATCTGCAAAATGCTGTGCTACATTTTAACATTTGGCAAGAATAGCATTTAGTAAGAACTTCTCAGACCTTGAGACCCTTTCCTGTCTAACAAGATCAATCTTTAAATTCAATTGAAAATGTTTGACTTTGCTTAAAAAGCAAGGACTCATTTGTGTGAATTCTACCATTCTATTCAGTTTAGTGTGTATGTGATTTGTTTTAAAAAAGCTATTAAGAATAGGATCTGATAATAAGGAATTACTATTGATTTTGTTGGGTGTAATAATGGTGTTATGAATACGTATTTTTAAACATGTTTTGGTTACATAGTGCCATACTTATGGCTGAAATAATATACTGTCTAGAATTCACTTTTTAAAAGTCCATATATAAAATTTGGAGAGTGGAGGGAGGATGGGTGAAACCAAAGTGGCACAGTATCAGGTAATGTTAAAGCTAAGTTCATTTTTACTATTCTATCTACTTGTGTATGTTAGAAATTTTCCAAAATTAAAAAGAGCATATCTGAGACACAGAGAAACTATTGCTTGCAACAGCATGGATGGAACCAGAGGGTATTATGCTCAGTGAAATAAGTCAGTCAGACAAAGACCAATACCATATAGTTTCACTTATAATGTGGATCTAGGAACAAAATAAAGCCAACAAACAAAATTGAAACAGACTCATAGATACAGAGAGAAAACTGGTGGTTGCCAGAGAGGAGAGGGAGATAGGTTAGTAGGTGAAAGAGGAGAAGGGACTAAGTACAGCTACAAAATAGTCATGAGAAAGTAAGTAAAGCATAGGAAATATAGTCAATGACATTGTGATAACTATATATGGTGCCAGTTGAGTACTAGAAATATGGAGGGGAACATTATGTAAATTAAATGATTGTCTAACCACTAAGCTGTATACCCAAAACCAATACATAATTTTAAAAAGAAAGAAAGAAACTATTGCTGAAGCTTTGCCTATATCTAACACAAAATATATGTTCAAAAATTGAATTTCTTGGCCTTCAGACTAAGGTGAGTAGGAAAGAATATATCAAAAATGTCTGTGAACTAGTGTGTGGTGGGGTGGCACAGACCAGGGTCAGGAAAGCAATTGCTGTCAAACCATGATTGACATCTCAGCCTGACACTTCCTACTAATGTGACTTGGGGCTAAAACTATTTAACACCAAGGTTCTATTTAAATGCAGGTAATAATAGAACATACTGCATGTGATGGTTGTGAAGACTGAATGAGATAACTATAATGCCTAACTCATGGTATAATTCAATAAAGGTTATGTACTATTATTTGGAGGCAACAGCATGTTGTAATGCCTCTAAGGCTCTCTACTTTTCCTAAATTAAAATCAAATTCACTTAGCATGGTACACAAAGTCCTTTACAATCCAGCTTCAGTTTTGCCTACTTCACGGTCCAGCATTCCTATAATTCTCCATGTTCCAGTAATTCAGAGCTACTTCCCATTCCCCAAACAAGTGAGAAACAGGGGCATCATTCCAATAGCTCTATAGAGCAGAATCCTGTGAACAACCACAAAAGTGACCTAGAAACAGATCTTTCCCCTACTGTTGAGATGACTGAGCCTTAAGAGTGACCCAGAGCCAGAAGGAACAGCTTAAGTGGATCCTCTAACCAATAAAAACCATAAAACAATCAATAAATGTTGCTTTAAGCCATGAAGGTTTAGGGTAATTTTTCATGCAGCAATAGGTAACTAGGAATGTACACATTTAAAGAATGGAATTATAGTTTTAAGAAGATTGATACCTGGTACTGGGGAAAAGAGCTTTTTCCCTGGAGTAGAGTCCACAGGTAGCACTGTGGAGCAGCCCTGGTTACACAAAAATACATGGCTCCAAGTGGGAAAAGGAATACCTTGTCCGCTGATGAGCTGCTGCAATAGCAGGAGAGAGAGGAAGAATGTGGCAGATGCACATTCAGTTCCCTTTTCTTTTCCTGCCTGCAGAGCAGTATGCTTCCACACTCTCTTTGAATTTAGGCCTACCATTGTAACAGTTCTAGCCAATGGTCAGCAATCAGGAGGGATGTGAATGTATCACTTGGAGTTTGAAGCATTTAATCACTGGTGCCAGGTACTCTCGTTTCCCTTCTCCTATTGTAGAACTTTTACAGAAGGATCATGACTGAGGAGTCCACAAGACAAGAGAAGCCTGAATTTTTAAGATGGGTCATGGAGAACAGTTACCTTAATGGTCCCCTGGATTCTTAATGAACTCTGAATAGGCAAGAAATAAATTTCCATGATGATAAGCCTATTTGGGTTAGCTATTGCTGCATAACTCACCAGTATCATGTCTAATGGTTCTTGGAGTTGGTAGGCTCAACTAGGCTGTTTTTCTTCACAGGATGGGTACCAGACACTTGGAAGCTAAGGCTACAGGTTATTTGAAGTCTTTTGTGCTCAGATGTCTAGCACCTGGCATAGGATGGCTGGAACAGCTAGGGACTCATGAAACACCTCTCTTATCCTAGCAGTCTCTCCATGGGGATAGCTGGGCTTCCTTTAGCATGGTAGTTTGAGGGCTCTCATACTTCCTTTCTCTAGAGCAAGAGTTCCTAGAGCCCCCAGGGGAAGCTACGGTGCTTCTTAAGATCTTAGAAATCTAAGAATGTCACTTCTACCACATTCTATTGGTCAAATCACCAAAGGTCAGTCCAGATTACAGAGAAGAGGAATTAGACTTTACTACTTAACAAGAAGCAACAAAATAAATTGTGGCCATCTTTTATCTATAAAAAGTCCCCTCTGAAAAGTTAGAATTGTTTGTCACTGAAGCATAATCTACCTGTTCTGATTAACTCTCTATCTTCCTTTGATGACTTAGTCAAGAGTAGTTTGGGGGGGTTATGGGTATTGGTGATATTTCCAGAAAGCAGAGTAGGAACTACCTTTCTCCTTTTCCCTTCTGTGGGTAGGCCTGCCTTGTGATATGCCTGTTTGGGCAAAAGGTATGGGAAAGGATGGTTTTTAA